AGAATGTGAGAGATCACCACATTTTCTAGACTTCACACTTAGTATGAAAAACAAAACTTCTTTGTGCTCCGACACTTCCTCTATTTTTTTCCCTCCTAACCTAAAGATTTCATCCACTTCCATGTTTATTCTAACGAGCCTCTGAAACGCCCCAGCCCCTCCGTCCACATGCTCCGGCCTCCCTCTCTGCCTGGATGCAGTTTGCTGGCGCAGGCTGCTAAATTGGGCCAATCTCAAATGTAGTTTTCATTTCCAGTGCGTTTCAATTTTTTTTTTTACCAAAATGGTAGAAATTCAGATACAAAGAACAACGTGGCTGAAAAATGCAGCTGTGTTACGGTGTCAGAATCAGTCAATGCATAAAATGGATTGAGAAAGGACATTGAGAAAAACGGGTCCTGGGCTATCAAGTGGACCTTTAGCTGGATTCTCCACCAGAATAAGAACCCCAAGGAATCTCCCCACCGGCCAGGCTTCAGCTCCTTTCACTTTATTCAGTTGCAAAATCTAGGGGGTTTTGAGGAGAACTTAAACATGTATTGCACTAAGGGCTTGTGTATAATGTCTGCTTGGACTACAAACCTGTGTCATTTTTCTCCTTTTGTCACATCCTCAAGAGACCCTTTTCTCAAAGGCAGTTAGTTATAGAAATAACTTTGTAAATCAGATTTTCTTGGAATACGGTTTTATGCTCCAATATCTTCCACTCGAAGTGGCACAGAGAAAGAGTTATAAATGAGGAAAAATAGTGATTTTTATACCACATACAAATAGATGGCACTAACTTCTATGGCTGTGGCTCACCAACAGTAAATACTTTTCGTGACTGTTTTAATTATGTATTATTGTGCAATGATGCCTTTCTCAATGTTGTCCACACAGACAGCCTTGGGAGGCATGGTTGTCTAATATCCGTGCAGTAGGTATTTCGGTGCTTACACGACCCAGGTCCAAAGAAACGGTCCCCTGCAAAAAGCATTATTTCCAGCCTGCTTTTAAAGACAAATGTAAGAGATTCACATGAAAAGCCTAAACGCTCTTACTTTGATCAAAGGTCATTTCTGAGCATGAGACATACAAAAATATTAGGGTGGTTAAGGCTCTCAAAGGTGACATACACCCTGCACCAAGCATGATTTTTTAATGAAGTGACTATGTCCTTCTTCATAGCTTTAAGTAGTATATATCTTTATATATTTTTAAATCATCCATTCTGTCAAGCCGTGCCACCTATCAAAAGTTAGCTCTGGTTGGGCAGAGCACACATAAATGAGGGTATGTTATTTTTTTCAAGTTCATTACATACACCTTATGTATGGAAACAACAGATTCAATCGACCCTATAGGTGTTGCCAATATTCAAATCCATTTTCCCACATACCATTCCATAGGAACTGCAAGGATACCTGTTACAAACTTCAATATTTAGGCCAATCTGACTTTTTAAAAATCCCTATCTAGTCATTTTAACCATGCATATTGAGATTTCATAAAAACAACTTGATTTAGTGATTAACTATAGAGATTATAACAAACTGTAAATAAGTCATTTCCGTGAATGGACTCTCCATGGGTGTCGCACCGCCTCTCAAAGCCACTGCTAATATCCTCGCTGAAACTGTTCCTGACTAATGTGCTACATTTTAAAGCCAAATTGGGTTTTCACTCTTCTCCTGCCAAACTAACTACAGAGAATGTCTCCTATAGCAAAACGTAGGTTCCACCACCAACCCACCCATGATGGAACGGGGCAAGGAGAGGAAGTACCTGCACATTCAGGAAAAAAATTAGTTTCGAATTTCCCGTAAACTGTTCTCAGTCCAGGAAAGTACCTAGCTTACATAAACCTAGGAATTGTGATGAACAGTATATTAGTCCCTGTTAGAATTGAGTCAGGAAAATTAACTGGAAAAACTATCCTTCTCAAAAAACCAAAAATCTATTTGTTTCAAGCACTTGAATTTTTTTAGGAAAAAAAAATCTGACCGTGAATTGGTAATTAATTCAACAATTATGTGTAAGCAGCTACTTATAAGGTAGTTGGGCTTAAAAAATTTTTTTTTTCAAGATACTGTTCCATTTCTGAGGCCTCGCCCTTTCCTGTGACAAAGTTGTAAATTTAAAGGGTTTGGCTTCTTGCACAAGATTACAAAAATTAGTGAAGATTTTTAGGGAGTCAGTATAAAGTATATTGAAAAATATTAAAAATATATTTTTATATATAAAAAATATTAAAAGTTTAATTTTTAAAATGTCTCTGAGAAGGAATTAATATTTCTAGAAAACTCCAGTGACCTCGATAAGTTCTCACTCCTTTTCTAATATTAAGAAAATCTAAGAAGGGCTGGGTGAGTGTTGAAAACATAAACTGCTTCTTTTTAGGTAACTAACTTCACTTTAAGTCAAAAGATAACTGTTGTGTGTATTAGACCACAGGATCGCATCGTTTTAGACCACAGGACTGCAAGCCAAGATATTTTTGCCACGTTTCTGAAGGCAAAAGTAGACAAATTTTAAGCTAAGGGACAAAATCCTACTTGTGTAATAAACTTGGACTATAGCCAAAATGAAACTCCTAAAAGCTGTTTGTTTTTAAGAAGTAAATGTATTGCTTTATTTTTAAAAATGTATTATCTCTAGCATCGTAATGGCAAAGGACTTTGATGAAAGCGACTGAGCTCTTCTGTCCTGGATTTCAAAATCCACTTGCTCGATGTACCGTCCCTTAGCAGCAACTTCAAACATTGCAATCATTACCACAAAATTCAGAGTAATGCCTAAAAATTAAATCTAAAATTATCTAAGTTTCCTAACCAGAGGTATGTAAAAGTTTCCCCCATTTTATATTAGAAGTCAAAGAATGTTTTAAGTTGCTTTTTTTTTAATTGTTGTTCAAGTACAGTGGTCTGTGTTTTCCTTCCACCCCTCCCCACTGTTTTTTTCAGTTCTACAGGAATAAAATGTAATCATCCAATACAGGACATTTTGAGATCTTAAGACCTAAAAAAAAATCTGATATGATACAATGGGATTTTTAAAGTCTAGTTTTAGATAATTTGTGTTTTGTTGATAAAACTTGAGAGAATCAAGTCATTTCTTGGGTAAAAAAAAACCCAACTCTTTTCTTTGATGATAGTTCAAAAAGAGTGACCTGAAGAATGAGTGTTTCAGCCATTTTCATGTGAGCTATTATATCATTTTAATATAGTGCTCACCTCTTTCTAACCTTCCAATAACCTGTTTGTAAATAGTTATGACAAGTCTGTTAAAGAAAAAGTCTACTTGATTCACCATTACTCTGATAGCATAATTAACTAGCAAGGAAATCCAAACCCAGTATCCTTAACATTTTATACGTCTTGGATATTCCCTAGGGTACACCTAGCATACAATGCTGGGCGCACAGAGAACTAGGGCATAATTGATTACCTAAAAGAAACAGATGTTGTCCAAAGTAGATGAAACTACCTATTTAAAACACACGTATGTATTAGCCAGATGTCAAAGGGAGACTTAATTTGGCTTCCAAGATGGTTATTGACAAATTGCTTTTCTTTTTTAAAATATAAAAAAAGCAAGGAAATAACTGATTCCTTCTTTTATCAACTCTGCAGATTTGTGTAATATTCTGTTCTAGTTATGCAAAGAATTTATTTCTTCCAAATGACATTGTTTTTAGAAGTATATGCAGTTGTTTGTTAAGACAATGCTCTTCGTTTTAAATTAGATGCTACACTATGTTCTCAGCATCTTCAAAGCTTTGAGACACTATTTAAGGCGTGTCCAGTTACCAGTCCTTTTTGAGTACGCTTGTAACTGCCGAGAAATCACTTTGTGGAGCTCAAATGTACCTTCCTCTTTCATGTGAAATGTTTAGTTGGTTAGAAGCAAGTGTGAGTTGCATGTAGCAGAATTCCTGTCTCAACAAAAACAGGGAAAAGTAGAACTCTAAATTGTAAGCTACGGTGCTTTCTGGTAAAAAATCTTTTTTGGATTTCCACCCAAAGCCATCAGGGAGCTTACAACTGGTTACACTTTCAAGCTCTGGACCTTATATACTGCTTTTTCTATAGAAGGAAACTAACCTCACTATAGGCTATTTAATATAAATGCATTTTGACAGTAATAACATAAAACTGTATTTTTGTCTGTATGTTTAAGGCTGGGACTTATGGGCAATTACAGATTTCAGGACTTGCAAAAATTCTCCCAGGTCTATGCTGGCCCCGCTCACACTTGAGACCATGTGTGACAAACCCTCCAACGGTATGGTCAGCACATGTGAGCTGCTGACCAGTCCCTCCGGCCAACCAGCACTGTCCTTGGCCTGACGTGCCCAAGGATACACAACCACGCTGTCGGAGCGATTGCAGGAATTCAAGAACAAAACTTCTTTTAATGGTTGCGTGTACTTAATTGCATTTTTGAATTAAAACTCGAGAATTAAAACCTGGGGGCTTTTGAGTTCACACACCAGCGAAAAGGATGTATATAAGTTGATCTTGACCCACTGAATGCCTGCTAATTCAATTGCCTAGAATTCCAGTCATTAGCCAAGCAGTCTTCCAAATGAAGACATCCGGTCTCCTTCAATTTTCCATTTAAAGCAGAACACAGAAGCATAGATCTGACCAATCAACTTAGGGTAAAATTACCCATGAAAGTGACTGATGGCGCATGGGTGAGGAGCTGGACAGCATAGGATGGAAAACCCTATGCTGCCACTTGAAGTTTCACGGGTTCGCCAATTTCTGGGGAATTACCTCCACACTCTTGATCTAGGTTGTAGAAAAAGGATCAGACTTAGAAACTGTGCAATTAGTATCTTCTCGAAGGGCTAGAAGCAAAACTGTTTGCACATTTCCATCTGAGAGATTTAAAGCGTTCTAATAATTTCACATGCTCTGAATAGAACTCACACGAAAAATAAAGATGTCATGTAGGATACACGTTGAGGATCTGTGTAGTACATAATCACAATTAAAATCACACACAGGAAATTTGAGTTCATATAATTTATTGCAGTTAGCACACAGTTTAAAAATTCACCAACACACCAATAGTACAAAACTAAACAGCATTATAAGTTATTCCCCCCTCAGGAAAATAAGACATACTATGATTGTCAAAGCTAGGTGTCAGTCTAAGTTTTAGAACAAAGGAAGAATGTGAAACTAATGAAAGGAAAAGTAATCACTCACAATGACCACAAAAAGAAAACCCAAAAGAAAGTCCGTTTTTTCACAGACATTGATTGTCTTCTCTAAATTAATAAAAATTATTTTAACATAAACTGTATTTAAAAAAAACGAAACAACTAGAAACTCTTCAAGTAACTAAAGATAATGCTCCAAGGCCATTTTCACAGCTTTTTTTGTTTGTTTGTTTGCTTTAAATGCCATTACAGCCAAATTAACACACGTTTGACCAAATATTTCCAAAACAGTCCAGCAACACACAATGGAGTTTTCCATTCAGTATCTTAAGCACAAAAATAGGCTATGTTTACAGTAGTTAAGGCGATCAAATTTTAAACAAAAGCAATTAAAAAAAAAAGGGAAAAACAGCAAACGTTTTCCATGCTACTCCCATAGACCTTATTTGTAAGTGCAAGACAGGAAAGCAAACACTGTGCAAAATGCTCTCGCCCCGTGTGCCGGTCATCACACCGCACGCCGGGCTGCAGCCTCTGCTGCCGCGATCCACATAGTCTACTAACCCCCTTCCCCCTGTCAATCAAGGCAATCCAGTCCTTTCAGCCTGGGGCTCTTTCAGTCCATAGAATCTTTTCATGAGTTGGGGGGTGGGGGGTGGAGGGTGGGAGAGGGAGGGTGGGGAAGGAAGAAGGGGAGAGAAAGAAAAGGGGAGCAAAAGAAAAAAAAAAATAAAAGAATGACCTATTGTCAATTTGTGCAGTAGTTACTCTAAAAATGCTCAACTGGGTAAATGTGTACACCTAAACTTTGAGCTGGCACGGGTTCTGTGCAATTTGAAGTCAGTTATAAATGCACACTGCACATGCAAATCTTTAAGCCGTTTGTAAACATTTATATTCTCCTTGTTATGTAGCGAAGTTATCAATTTGCAGCTTAAGTTTTTATTCAGCTTAACAGTTTCAACTTAAAGACAGTGGGAAAGTCAATTTAAATTATATAAAATAAAAGTAAAAACAGTGCATTTACGTTCTTCATAACACCAGTTTTTTTTCCAAGTGGTGCTATTTTTCTAAGGAAATTAAATAATTTTAAACTCACTCGTTAAAGTTATACAATGCAAACAAAGACAAAAATATATTGAAACTCATGCATTTCTGTAGCGTTAATATTTACTTTTCAAGACTCAACTAAGAGCATCAATACAACCTGTCAAGTTCTTTGACACCCCCCCAGCCCATGTAATCAATTACAGTATACAAGAACAGTAATTCACATTTTTCAACACACAGTTCGACACTGCTGAAGCTGCAATATCCTTCCTCATCCCGAGCAAACCTTCACAAAGACAGCGCCCCAGCGATCCCAGTGTACGTTCATAATTTCTCTCGTTGGGAACCGTCAGAAAACCAGAAGTTGCCACAGAAAGTTTTAAGTCAACTGCTTGTTTAAAAATAGATAATCCAGCATTTCAGAAATTTTCCATTTGGGTCTAAAAGCATTCAGGTTTCCAACAGCCAGAAAAGATTCATGCAATTTTAGACATATAAAGAGGCTAATAAAACTGGAGGGAATTTCTACTTGGGGGAAAAAAAAAAGTGGGGAGAAAAAGAGCTCCAAAGACAAGGCAATGTTGACAAAATTAAGCCCTAAGAAAGCATTTTGCGACAGGACGATTTGTTTCAAAGGTTCTTATTGGCTTACTTCCCCTACGCCCTCAAAGAAAAACACCTCTCTATTCTCCAACTTGCCCTAAAAGTTTCTTTTATCAGTATGCTAAATTAGTAAGATTTTCATGCTATTCTAAAGTGCAAAAACAAGTTAATATCCCAACTTTTTAGTTCCAGGAAACAAGACTGCTTTTAGACCGTACCACAACTATATAGAGATCTATGTATATATATGTATATATATATATTATTTATATATATATATATATAAAATTATTTCCAGAGTTCTTGCGAGCTATCTTCTAAGGTCCAGTCTCTGACAGCAGGCAAGCTCAGTGCTTCACTTTTGACAGACAAGGAGTTCACCAACTCACAGTGGAACTTGCGGATGTGTCTGTACAGGTCCCCCGACTGCGTGAACCTGCGCTCGCACCACTTGCACGCGTGCGGCTTCTCGCGGGTGTGCACCACGGCGTGGCGGCTCAGGTTGTGCGAGTACTGGAAGCTCTTGCCGCACTGGGTGCAGGTGTAGGGCTTCTCGCCCGAGTGAGTCCTCTCGTGGCGCTTGAGCGTGTACATGCAGGAGAAAGTCTTCCCGCACAGCGAGCAGGTGGGCACGTTGACGTCGGCGGCCGGCTTGCTGCGGATGCCGTCCTGCTCGCGGAAGTGCGTGCTCAGGTGGATCTGCAGGATGTGCGGGCTGGGGAAGACCTTGTTGCACAGCGGGCACATGAAGATCTGGCCGGCCGGGCTCAGGATGTTGGAGACGTAGGGCAGCAGGCTGCTCTCCATGCCCCCCTCCACCTGCACGCGCTCGCTCTCGGGGGTCAGCATCTCGTCGTCGCTGGCTTTGTCCTCCCGCTCGAGCTCCCTCAAGACCGAGTCCTCCCTCAGCGGAGCCAGATGGGCCGGCTCATACTGTACCCTGTTATTAGTGCTCACACTTTCTTTCACAGTGCTATGTTCCATGTCATAGTCATTAGTGCCAACATCACTCTCATCACAGGAAGCCTCTTTCTCCACCTTCACCTGCACCAGGTTGCTTCTCAGCACGTCCTGTGAAGAGAAATAAGAGCTGTTCAGATTTTCAACTCCTGAAAGGCTGGACTTGACAGACAGGTCCAGCACGCAGTCAACATCTGCTGAATCCCTCACGGAGGTGACAGACCTCTGGGACAAAGACTCTGTTGAGCTGCAGGGGCTGGCTACTGTTTTTCCAGCTGCTGTGGCGTGTGGCTCTGCCTCTGCGCCCCCCTGGGGGATGCCTGCTGAGTCCGAGGGCAATCGCATCCACATGTTCCCAGGCTCGGCCGCCAAGTCCCTTTTGCTGGGCAGGATGTTCAATTTCTCGTCTTCTCCTTCATCTTCGTCGCTGGGCAGGTCGCCGGCCATGTGGCTGCTGCCATCCGAGAGACTCTCGACTTTGTCCGAACAACTTGAGGCGTCTTCCTCCTTTTTGGTGCTGTCTGCCTCCGTGGTGGCTTTCTCTTTCAGCTTCTTTTTGCAGACTTTGACAATGTCATACATGTGGAGATAACTGGCAGCTGCTAGCACGTCTTCAATGGGCAAGTCTTTGAACTGGAGTTTCCCTTCATACATGAATTCAAGCAGGAGAGCGAAAGCTGGGGCTGTAACAATGTCGCTGTTCAGATGAACAATGTCTCTTTTGTCCAGCTGGTCCTTGTAAAAGAGGTGGAAGTACATGCTGCACGAAGCCAGCACAGCTCGGTGCGCTCGGAACTGGGCATCTCCCACCAGAACAGTGCAGTCACAAAGAAAACCCTGATGTCTCTGCTCGCTCAGACACTGCAGCAAATGTCTACTATGGTCTGGAAACTCCATGCTGTCTTCATAACCTGGGAAGAGAGACATTTCTCATGAAAGCCCCGTCAGGAACAACTTTACAACTTCTCCACGCCAGTCCCCATACAAATAATAATAATTCAGCTTGGCGGCAGGGGTACACGTCCCTGCATTTTAATCAGGCGTATGACCCAGAGGCTCCAAATCACATGCACGAGACCTAAATGGGAGAAGAAAAAGGCACACTTTCCAAACTTCCTCACCCCAATCAGACAGTTTCTAACGCATCTCCACCTTCCCTGCACTTTCAATCAAGTTTTTAAGACCTGAATTTCAGGAGAGTCTCTTATTGAGAGTAAGAATTTAGCTCTCTCTCAGAAGAAATTTAGATAGCGCTACTCATCAAATTATGTCCTACGAAACCTACAGAGTAGCTTTCACTGCCAAGGGAACAACTCATACAACGAACAAAGAAAAGTCCCAAACACACTCTGGAAGATTCAGAAAACTTGTCTGAACATTCTTTTTATTACTTTTGGTCCTTGATTGCCCTCAGAAAGCACAATTTAAACACACACATTCAGCTGAGGGGGGGAAAAAAACCCCACATAATGAAATTGCATAATTAGTCCAGAAATTCACAAACAACTTTCTTTTAAAGTCAGAGTGTTACAACGACAAACGCTCTGTGTATAAAAACAGATGTGAATGCCTTAAGATTTGCAGGTAGAGCACACATGCACGAGATCAGAAGGAACTACACCAACAGATGGGAAAGATCATCTTTACTACAAATAAATCCAAATATTTTTTTTAATGAATTGAGAAAAAAATGGTTCTATTTCTTTGTAGACTCTGCACATCTAGAGAATCAGGAGCCAGAGGGGCTTTCTTTAAATCTGAACAATCTTATCTAAACTTTGATCCTTTGCAAAAGCAGTATGAGTTCCATATTAAAATGAACTCCAACTTTTAAGTAAAGGCATACTATGTTCAAATGAAACCCAAAAGCTTTACAGGTTCAACATTAAAAAAGAAAAAAAAAACCTTGCTAGAAAAAGAGAAACTATTTTTTCCCCTGACTGTGCCTCACCTCTGTCAACAGAAAATACTTTGTTTCAACATAACTTGATATATTTTGTTTTCCCACTGGCTTCTATTCTTTCAAATAGGCATTGTTGCCCTGATTTTCTGGGGGAGGGGGGGTGTGACATGGAGGGAGAGGAAAGGCAAGGCTGTACAATGGGTCAAAATTCAACTCCTTAAAACTAAAGAAAACCCAGCCTCCCCTTTCAGAGGCGAGGGGACCAGAGGCGAGGTTGCACACCGCCCATCTCGGAAAGCACACTTTGGGAATGGGTACGTATTCATTTATCGTCTAAAAATTCCTTCCCTGCTTTGTCTACCCTTTGCCCACGATGGACTGAAACTTTCACCCCAACCCCAGATACCTCCTGCAAAAGATGCCACTGCTAGAAGAAACCAAGATTTACAATACAATCACTTTAAGTGCCCCACAGCTAACATCAATCCTAATCCTTGAGAGGGCTAAAAATAAAGATTGGAGGGCAGCTCACAAGGTAGCCGTGATCAAATTAGGAGGCTGAGAGGACAGAGAGGGACGAAGAAGGAAGCTTATAAACATCTGATCCAGCTGACTGTGGCCATATGGCAGCTGCTGCCCAGATAAAGAGATTAAGAATAGAGGAGTGCGATTACAGCTGTCTGGCCAATTCAGGCAGCTCGCATCTACAAGTTCTAAATTAGTCACTACCACAAAAACTCCTGCAAATAATTACTGTTCGGCCCAAGTGAAAGATCTCTTAAATATATATTTGAAAAGAGAAATGAGGAAACCAGTCAAACTATTCTCCTGAGGACAAAAGTTTTTTTTTCCCCCCTTTAAAAAAAAAAACAAAACAACCTTCGGTTTCAAAAGCACTATACAGCTGTATGTTTCAGGAGTGCTGCTGAATGGTTTGAAGAATAAAGTTTCACAGTGGAATTAATTACACAACAATCAAGCTTCTTAACTGGAATAATCTTCTCATATAAGTTTGAATGCTGGATTCCAGAGAGTTTACTATTTCTGCCCGACCCCAAAAGCAAAAGGAATCTAAAACAGCAGTGAAAAACAACAGCATAAAGCATTTTAATCCAAAGTGATCTCGAAAAGCAATATTCCAAAGCCTTTCTTAACATTTCAAAACTTGAAATATTTCTGTGTATTAAAGTTATTTACTTGCTCGAGCAAAAGGGATAAAAATTACAACTAAACAAGCCCAAGACTTTCAACTCCAATAAGATGTTCACTTAATACTCAATTTCATACATTATTCCTAAACTGGGTTAGAAAAGTAATGTGATTTTTTTTTAATTAAATAAACAAAACACCAAAACACAAATACGCTCCATCTAATCTCTTTGCTACTCCTACCTTTAGGACACATAAACCTGATTAAGTCCTTTCCTCTGAGTCTTGCTGGCTCCAGGGCTGTTACATCGGTGGAAAAAAAGCAGACCGAGAGAGACAGATGCAAAGTGGAGATGATGTTGGAGAGGAAAGAGATACCTTCTCCGCCACAGATCCGCACACACTAACTCCCTGTCTGTGTGTTAGAATAAAAGGCTGAGGGATGGCAGGCTGTCAGCTGCTCTGACATCATGTTCAGATGGAAATGCTACCTCCAGCTGTGCTCCTTTTAATGCCATATGCTACTCCTCTACACTCCTGCCACCAGCTTTTTCTTAGGAGAACTTTTCTCTTCTGTTAGTATAAACAAAATACTTCAAAGTCTCCCTTTTTTTCCAAACTTTCTAACAGAAGAAATTGAAAAACTCAGCATATGGAGTTCTACTGTATTTATGGAATAGCAACACTTCTGTCTTAAGTTGGTGGACTGGCTTACATACTGACAGCGCACTCAAGCCACCGTGCTATTCAGGAAATCCAGACTCACTTTTATTCAACTCCAACGTTTAGTTTCAAAGGCAGCTTAGGGATATTTTAAACCAACCCATTTGACATCTCTAGTCCCATTTCAACATTATTATGGTTCTTTCTTTCTTTCTTTTTTTTCTGCTGAGATAATGCTATACATGTCTCAGGACGTTGGGAGAATATTCTCAACTATTACTTCAGCCTGGTTCACCTTATTATTTCTCTCTTATTTACTATTTATCTACAACTACCCGCTCATGAAAATTTCTCACACTGCCAGCTAATGCAAATTTTGATTCTCAGTATCAACAAACTGAAAGTGCACTTTCTGAAATCCTGGAAAGTACTTCAGTTCAAGATGACAAATTAATAGTCATACAACCTGCTAAAGTCACTTAAAATGCACGCTGCACCTGCGTATCTGATCTTTTCTGCTCAGAAAAAGCAGAACTTCGTCTTCCCCTTAATTTGTGTCCCTTAACAATCTGTTTTTGGGTCACTCTGTAATGTTCGTGATCACACGGAAACCTTTCATGGAGAAAGGGAGGGGACAGATCCAGTAAGTTTGGGAACTTTTTAGCTAGACTTTGTGGGCCTTTTCTAATGGCTGATGAAATCCCAACGTAAGCCGGGCTAGGCTGACCGGTGTCCTGCAAGGTGCTGCGACATCTGTGAATGTCAAATACATCTCCACAGGCTCTCGGGAGGGTGAGGAGAGAAGGAGCTGGGCCTGAGGCGCAAGTGCTGTAGCCCTGGTGATAAGCACTCCGTTCTCATTAGAAAACCATGGCAAAGAGTTAAAGAGTAACAAAAAACAACGTCTCTGTCTTGTCCTTCTCGCTTTCCCAAAGTCACAAACCTAACTTTCTCTAACTTCGCGATGAATGACATAATTATGATTGCCTATTTCAGGAAGCACTCTTCGGAGATAAATTCCTTCTCAGCCACACAACCTATTCGCCACAAATGCCCTCGCCCCATTCCAATATATCAGACATTAATCACCCCATTTACCCAGTGGGGTGGGGGCTGAGTGACAGTTTAATGAGTCGCAAGCACAGCAATGGGTCGGCGAGCGGCTCCCACTCCACAAATCAACCCCTCACGTCCGGCTACCGCGGGTCCAGAGAGGTTGGTGAGATTGGGTTTTGTTTTTCAAAGAGGTTGTGGGGGGAACCCTGGGGAGGGGGGAAGAAATGCAAATCTCTCCATAGTTGGCTGTGCATAAAACACACGCGGAAAGAGGAAGGTTAAACCACAGGGAAGGAGGTGGAGGGCGTAGACCCGGTGCAGCAGGAAAACACCTTAAACAACAGACGTGAAAACAGACCCGGGTCAAGGCAACAACAAAAGAAAAGTCGTAAGAAGAAGACTGGGGGAGGCGGGTGGTTGCTACCGCTTCCCCGCCGCCCCAGCAAGCGAGCCCCCGGGGCCTCCCGGCAACTGCACCAGCCCAAGGGGAAGGGTAGGGGTGGACGAGGGGCTCCCCCGGAGCCCCCTCCCCCCAGGCGCCACTGCAGCTGCACCGGTCCCCGGAGCCGCGGCCGTCCCGGGCGCCACTGCAGCTGCGGCGGCTCCCAAGCCCCCTCCCCCAGCCCGCCGCCCTCCGCACCCGGGAGGCGCCACCGCAGCTGCACCGGCCGGGAGCCCGCCCCGCGCCGCAGCTGCACCGGCCGGGGGGGCGCGGCGCGGAGCCGGCCAGCCCGCACCCCGCCCGACCCCGCAGCTGCAGCGGCCCCGTCCCCGCGCCGGGGCCTCCCGCAGCTGCGCCGCCCCAACCGCTTCAACCACACAAACTAACTCCACTCGCGGGGGCGCCCCGGCCCGGCCCGCCCTCCGCCCGCACTGCCCCGCCGGCCGCGGCCGCACAGCTGGCGCCCCCCACCCGCCGGGAGCCGGGGCGCGGACGGGGCGCCGGGTCAGAGGCCGGGGGCCGGCGCCGGGACTCACACGGAGCAGCCCTAAGTCACCGCGTCCCCGCCGCCGCCGCGTCCTCCGCCTCCTCCGCCCGGCCGTCGCCGCCGCCGGACTTGGTGGGCTTCCTCCTCCTCCTTGTACCCCCCTCCCTCCCGGCCCCCCCACCCCCCAATCCCGGCTCCGTCGCCCGCTCCCCCTGCCCCCTCCCTCCCACCCGCCCCCGCTGGCAGCCGGAGGAGCGCGGCGGAGCGAAGAGGGCCCCACTCTCAACGGCTCCCCATGGCAGCAGCCCAGCGGCGGGCGCAGCCTGCCAGACACAGCGAGGGAGCGAGCGAGGGAGCGAGCGCGGAGCCGCCGGGCCGGGGCGGGGGGGGGGGGCGGGGGCGGGGGGGTGCCGGCGGGGGAGGGGGCGGGAGGACGCACCACGCACGCACGCGGCGGCGCCGGCCAGATGTTTCCCCCCCACCCTCGATCCGCCCCTCTCCTCCCCATGACTCCCTCCCCCCCGGCGTTGGGCTTCGGCGATTGACCGAAAGCTCCTGGACGGGCGCTCCCGCCCGCCCCCAGGCCTCAGTATTCTCCAATAGGAGGGCGAATTTTCAGGAGGGCGGAGGCAGTGGCGGGCAATCGTCGGACTGGCAAGAGGGCCTAGCCAATGGGAGAAGCGAACTGGAGCTGCCGCTCGCGCGTCCCAATCGGAGGCAGAAAACTGTTGGGGTGGGCGGGGCCCGGGCGGGCGGGGACCGGTAGCGAAGCGGTGTGAGGCGGAGTCCTCGGGCGCAGCGGCGGTGGTGGCAGCGGCGCCCCTCTGGGTGACTTGGCCGTGAGAAAGTGAAAGGAGCCCGCAGGCGGCGGCGACAGCTGCGCTGGGAGGGGCCTGTTTCCAGGCTCAGAGGCCTCGGGCGCTCTGGGGGTGCGGAGCAAGCTCCTCAGCGTGCACCGTGACAACCATAAATAATACTTTAAAACATAGTGGAGCTTGGCCGCTCTAAGTTATGCAGGTATCCTCGCAAAGCAGGGCACTCGGGGACACAGATGAATCGAGTCCGGCAGTAGGTGGCTCGGTCGGCTCCCTGTGCTGTAGGTGACGACATCCAGGTCCTTGCCTACCCGAGCGAAGGGGGAGTAGGGCTAAAGGACGTTCTTGCCCCGTCCTGCGGTGTCCCGTTTCCAGGTGCACGTCGGGACGCCGAGGACGCGACCGGCTCAGAGGGTCACCGTTTCTGAGCGTCTTTTTCCTTGTGCCGTCTTGTTACAGGCGCAGAGCAGAGCGCCTGCGTTTCTCGAACAACCTTCATGTCACATGTCTGCTTGTACTGTTACAAGTAAAGACATTCCCAAGTGACCAAATTTTAGGGAATTACAGTAAAATTGATACTTGTAGAAGCCTTAGCCTGATCCCTTAATTGGTACGTATGAAGCCACAACTTTAAACTACCGAGGGAAGATGTAAGACTGTTGCATTGCTTTTCCTTCCTTCAAATAAACTTTTATTCGACTCCTGTTTTTTGCGATTAAACCGTGTTAATTACGGCTACGAAGAAATGTAGAAACTTACACCTTCAAGAAATTGGAAATCGTGTTAAAGAGGCAAGAATTACAAGTAAAAAGTTGAATAGCAAAGTGAGAGAAATGGCTCAAGAATGCAAAACAGAAAACTGCAGAGTGAGGAAGTCAGTGCACTAGTCATTGTGTTTATTCTTCGCCAACTGAACCCGCACTGGCAAGCCTGTTGCTAACCAACTTGCCAGGAGACCTTTCAACGGGGCAAAATGTGCTTTCACTTTGTTGCAGGTGAAATGGGTAAACTAAGTAGGAAGTATTGTGTGGGCAAATCAGACATGTTGAATTGCTAATCAAGTCAAAACAGGAGCACAGAAAATTGTGGAACTGAAATACGATCGGAGTGTCCTGTTAGAAGCAGTGGTGATATTCTCTCCTCTTTCTGCAACCTTTTCATATGTCCCCAAGATTGACCACTGAAGTCAAAGTCATCTCTATAACTAGAGTTTTTTATTCCATAAAATACAGGGTGAGGCAAAAGTAGGTTTACAGTTGCGAGTATGCATAAGTTTATTCTTGTATTATTTTCCATATAAACAACTGTAAACCTACTTCTCCACCCTGTATATTATTTCTGTGCTTCTGGTGAATTCTAGATCATTTAGTCTACCTGTAGGAGGCCCAGTTTCAGTCTCACCTGTTTCAAGTCAGGGTAATTTGTAAATGTTCTTGATGAATAAAATACCCAAAAGAAAAGATGTGAATATAAGTGAATGCTTGACTAAGAAGTTTGGGGGGAAACAGAGGGGAGAAAATGCGTCCTCAAAGGTGTTTCTCACTTACTAAAAGTTAAAACTAACAGATCTCTGGATGAATAGAGTGAGTTGATAGTGCAAGCACAGTAAGTAATAAATTCATGAGAAGAGTAGAATGTTCAGCTTGTCCCCCAAAAGCTTCTAAACTCAGCTCTATGGCATCTACAGCAAAATCACAGCTCTGACAAAAGGTTTTACAGACAACCCCTACCCTCAGAATAACAGATTTGATGGGGAGACACTGATCCAAAGTTGTGAGCATTGTTTTTTAGGTGTAACAGCCATTACTAGAACCCATTTTTGAGAGCTGAGTAGTATAGCCAGGAAATACAGATTGAGTGGGTATTTGAAGAAGCAAGTGTCATCCCTTAATATGTAAAAGATTTTATAAATTTATGGAAATGCA